ATTACCACACGTCTGTGGGGAGAATGGAGGGGACGGGTGCTGAGGGAGATGATCTGGAGTGGGGGTTGGGAGTTTAGGGTTCCAGGCGATCCCTGTCACACAATAGCCGTGGGATCCTTCTCAGACCTCCATTTCTTTCTTTGAATAATATAGTGTTGAACGGAATTCCAGAAGCTTCCCCGTACCCCCGGGTGCTACACCTAGGAACAGGTTTCCTTTGTAAAGGCTAGGATTCCTTAAGTGGTCTCCTTTAGTTATGCAAATATGCCGGAGGAAGCAGCCCAGCTCTGGGTAATTGTGGGGCGGCCTTTTGCCCCCTTTCAAGTCCCCTTTGAATTCAGAGCTGGTAGCGGAGGGCAGAATTTTTTGCTGTTGAAGCCCTTCTGTCCTTGGTAAGGAAGCCCTCCCCCACAACACACACACCTATTGCTATCCCAAATCAGTTTGGGAACTGACTAAAATCTATTGCCATCAAAAGCCCGAAAGTTGCTACTGTATGAAGGAGTTTATGGAGTTCATCCAGAAACCCCTGCACCCAGGTCCTCAGCATCCAACTGCAGGATAGCTGCAATGGTGAGTGTTACTTAAATGCGGATAACTTATATGCGTGTGCGTGGCCTGAGAAGCACCCGTACTGCGCAGGCCCGCTCAGCAGCGCCCCTGTGTGGAGCGACAGAGAGCAGCTGGAATTGCCTGTCAAGACTTGGCAAAGGAAATTTGGGAGAAAGGTCCACCAGGGCGCTTAGATCCCCAACAAGGGTATGCAAGAGTTTACATTGGAATGTAAACCGATTTTACTAAAGCCAAAGTCATGTAGATTATATACATGCAAAATGTTCCCAGGGCCAGGCATATTGACTGGGGCTGCGCAATTACTACCATCACTACTAACGCCCACCCAGAAAAAGACAGTGAACACTGGTCCTTTGTCACGCTGAACTAAAGGACTTGGAAGGTAGAGGCCTCCTCCCCTGAAGTAAACCACAAAGGTTGAAAGGTCGTTCTGTTCCCTTCTCTGGGGGACTCACCAGAGGGGCCTAACCTATGTCTGGGAATGGGAGCGCTAACCTTGCTGGGTCTCCCCGCTCAATCTACTCCCATTAGGTCGTCAAGACAGTCTTCCCTGGTTTTCCAGTCAGTATTTCTGGAGCCCGACCCCTCTTTAGAAACTTTCTAATCATTTAAAAACTTTTAAGTATGCTGGAGAGACAGTTCGGTAGGTAGAGTGCTTGTCTAAGCATGCAGGAAGCCCTAACTTCAGCCCTCAGTACAAACTTGGCATGGTAAGCACATGCCCGTTAGAGGGTTAATTTCCTAAAAGCCTAGGGGGTGGAGGGCTGAGAAACTTGGACAGGAGAGTTGACTAACACCTGTGGAAGCTTCCGGTAAGGCGATCCACGCGTGTGCGCCAACCTGCTGGTGTCTACCACGTCCAGACTGGGGGCTGGGGGGCGGGCTGCCCTGTAGATGGACTCTTCCATCCCAATTCCCCCTTTCATAACCCATAAAACGCCAAGACCCCCAGGCCACGTCCTCACTGTCTCACTTCCGGAGAGACTAGTCTTCCAGCAGCCTTTCTGTTTAAAGAACAATTCTGCTTCAGGAGATGCCTGTTTGCTTCCCTGATTACCACATTGCCTCCATGAGCCCCTCTTTTACAGCTGTAATCCCAGCCTCTTGGAAGTGGCTATCCTGGCAAATCATGGTGAGTCCACGTCCAGCTTGGGGTACCTGAGACTTTCAGGAAGGAACCTTTAATTAAACCTGTTAAGACTTTTCTTGTTGTCTCTTGTTATGCAACCGTGGCGATGGGACGTACCTCTCTACTAGGAAAACAAGACTTTAGTGAAAGTGCCTGAATCTTCCAGAATAACCTTTATCTTTATGCCTATTTTCCAGTGGCCAGCAATAAAGGTGTCTTTAGAGACAAGCTGGATGGAGAAGGCTGGGGACTCACACACACACCAGGCAAACTGTAAAAAGCCAATGGCAACAGAGCAAAATGGTTACAGGGGCTGCTGCAGGCTGGGCCTTCTGAACATCTCAGAATATAGTTTTGGGGCTATATTCCTATCCTGTTGGTGGGGTGGGATCTGGACTTTTGTCCTCCTAATGTGTTCTTAATCAGAGCTTGCAGAGAGCACCCTAAGGAGACAGATGGGGCCACCTAAAAGAGTCAGTCCCGCATGGTGCTAGGGAGGATCCTGTTTGGTTGGTCCTCTCAGCAGATTCAAACAGTGACCCAGGGTCTACACATAGCCTCGAGCTAAGAAGTACAACCATTCATTCTTTCAGATGTAGGGTAAAGGCAGTCTCCAGAGAATATGCCTGAGCCTGAGAGTCAGAGCTAATCAGTGAACTGCATGAGCCTCTGCTCAACCCCTGACCAGTTGGGACTGGATTCTTTCTAAAATCTCTTACTCTTGCATGGAGGGCTGGACACCGACCAGTCAAGACTGGACAATACCTGTTCTGGTTCTGAATACCTTCCTTCTATCAGATAACCAGGATGGGAACTCTTGGAGGGGGTTTTTCTTATAAAAGTAGCTTTTTCTTTGGTCCAGGAGCCACTGGCCTGCCCTGCTCCTGATTGAAGCTGTGGCGGATGTCCTAAGAAGCCTGGCCTGTGTAGCCCTGGGTCTGGTGTGTTTCTATCATTTCTGGACCCAAGAAAGGGATTGGTCAACAAACTCAGCAGGGCACCTCCCTCCCTTATCTCCCCCATAGTCATTCACTCCTCCAAATTCCAGTCTACCACAGACAAAGGTCCTCCAGCCCTTTAAGGCACAGATACAAGGCTCTAGGATTCGGAATGTGAGTACTTCCCTCCCCCGCCTAGGAGTTCCTCAGCCTCCCACCTGCCTGCACAGCTCTGGGCTCAAGTGAGGGAACCTAGCTAGAGGCAAAGCCTCACACTCAGGCTTTGTAAGGATTAGAAGCCCTCAAGACCCACCGTGTGGGCAGGCTACTTCCCCTTGAGTTCCCAGTTTACAGGACCCAGAGACAAAGCAAACCAATGTGAAGGGGCCTCAGAACTCTCTGAGTGTTGACCCACTCTCAGGGTCAACTCCAGACACTTTTATAAAACCTCTAAGGCCTGAGATTCAAGCCTGCTTAGTACCTAGCAGCACAACCAACCATCCACCCCCCACCCTTGCCCTTTGATTAAACCATGCCTCTGCCTGGCCCTTAGATGTGGCTACACACATAACCCCCGAGCCTCCACATGGCCCTTCATTTTGTCTCCCACTGTCTCTCTGCTGCTGTTCTGGGGTAGGTGGCTGTCTGGGAGCTTTGAGATAGAGGTACTCATGGCCTTCTGCCTCCTGTGGACCCTGGCTCCACAAAAGAGCCCCGCAGTGTTGCAATCTCAAAGTTGTTAATTTCTGAGAGCCAGGTATGCATTTTGCAATGAGCTCTGCACATAATGTAGCCAATTGACAAGGCAAGGGGTAGGAAGACCTGTGCTAGGGAGAAATGGTAGCAGCCTTGTCCTTTATCCCTTGGATCTGGGTAGCTGGGCCTATGGTGGATCTCCCTGAGCTGGACTCACTACTAGCTTGGGAGATCCTGTTTTGACAGTAGCTGCCCTTCCTCCCCTGGAAGCAGCAGCTTGGGTGAAGGTCCTGCACATGGCAATTCTTGCTCCACCTAAGCCTACTTCAATGCTACCAGCTGGCTGAACAGGACACCAGATTCTGCATACCCTGCTTACGGCCACCCATGAGAACCCTGGCCTTGGGCCTGAACTATACCTAGGCTAAGGCCCCAGTTGTCCATGTGGTAACCTGAAATAGCTGAGTGCTATAGCTGGCAGGCTTTGTTCATCACCACAGTTCTCTCCTTCCTCTAAGGTCCCTCCAGAGCTCTTATACATCTTCTAGCCAATACCAAGGAACCAGCTAGCTTAGACACCTTCAGCAACCCGTTCAGTTTTATTGAGAAACTAATGATGCCTCCATCTCTCCCAGGTGACCCCAGTCTGAGGTGGGAGGTGGCATTCTTTCACAGGGGAAATCGTCTGTGTAGGCCCCAGAGAAGTAGGGGTATCAGTGGGGAGAGCTCAGAGTGAGATCGGAAGGCAAGGGGTGAATGGTAAAGGTGTTAGATGGTGAGCGGGGCTGCTGAAGGAGAGTGTCTAGAGGAAGAGAGAGGGTCTACCACCTCCCAAGGCCTTCCAAGTCTTCATAAATAAAACTTCACAGTAATAGGAGAATGTCAACATCTAGGGCCAAACAGGCCAGTTTCTGGCCAGGGTGTCAGTGTTGGTGAGCTGCAAGGGTGCAACCTGGCTTGGGCTGTGGTCAGGTATCACGGTGCCTTGCGGGGCCAGGAGCACTGCTCTTTTGGCCTGTGTTGGGATGTAGGGTGGGGCTATAGCCCACAGTGAGGTTTAGAGGAGTGCTGAGGTAGTCAGAGTGGCCAGTCAGGCTTCTGGACAAGAGAAGACAGAGCCAGGAGCCATGCCTTTGGAGCAGACTCTAGGGAAGCCTGGGGTTGTGCTGAAAGCCTATGGGGCTTGGCTTTGGGGAGATCCAGGGACGTGGACGAGGGGACACCTGTGGACCTGCACAGGGCTGAGCTCCCACAAAGGCTGCCTGGCCTTCAAGGAGCCAGAGGCATTTCACAGGAAGACTCCCCTGTGATAACAAGAGACAGCCACAGTCCTACTGGGGCCAGGCCTAGCCCAGGTACCTGAGCAAATGTTCCTGCAGAGGCCACCAGGGTCTCCTATCAGGATAGAGGGGCCAGGCTACAGGCCTAGGCTAGGAGGATTCAGGTCCTCAGATGACCTTCAGTCAGGGAAGTTCCAGCTGGGCCTCACTTTCTGGGAATTGCTGGGAGTTCCTCTCTGGCTCTCTGTAGCACACCACACCCAGGGGCACAGAAGGCCCAGACCCTTCACCTCCCACATGGGACCAAAGACTATGCCATACACCGTAGCTCCAGCCCCAGGACCCCAAGGACTTGAGGGCAAATGTGCTGGTGGCCCAGCAACATTAGAGCACCTGGAACTTGAGGGAACAGGTGAGATTGCTATGCACCAGATCCCACATGGCCAGCAGCTCAGCAGGTAGCAGCTTGTGCACCACAAGCATGGCACGGTAGAAGCAGGGTTCTTTGTTCATACGGCTGCCTCGGACCCGAGAGATGCCAAAGGTCTTGAATCCCTCGTGGCCTGTGGGCTGTACTCCCAACACCTCCAAACACATGCCCAGGAAAACGTCATCGATAGGAAAGAGTTCCAGTGTGTCACAGGCATGGTGGAGATGCCGAGCTAGGTTCCCAGACATGAGGAAACCCCCACCGCCGGCATAGGGCGGGTAGGTGGACTTGCTGTACATGACGGATGGGATGTAGTACTTGTTCTCTTTTTTGCGGATGGGCCGAGCGTGCTTCAGGACATCACCTACAAATAGGTTTTCCTGGGGCTGCCGGTCAGACAGAAACTCAAGCAGGTTGGTTGGGTTGACGAAGACATCGTCATCACCTTTGAAGATGAAGGGGACATTGGGACAATAAATGTCAAGCCACTTAAGGAAATGGATCTCCTTGAGGGTCAGGTTGAAGAAGCTGTCAAGGAAGTCCCACTGTAGGATGTCACCATAGAGACGGTCCTCGTAGGCCAGCAGCTGCTGATAGTGGGTCCGCTCCTCTTGCTTGGAGGCTGTGCCCAGCAGGAAGAGGGTGCGCACAGCACCCCTGCCCTGCCCTGCTGACTCCCACTCACGTCCCCAGGTCTGTCGGATGACCTCACGGCGGTCGTGCTGTGTTATGATTGACTTGACGACCACCAACAGATAGACGTCACCTTCACACTTCTCCGGGTGGTTCAGCAACATGGGAAAATAGCGGCAATGGCGATAGGATAGAAACTGCCGGAAATGTGGCTCAAGACTATGGAACCAGGGCTGATGGGTCATGTTGATGTTGACTGAACAATTAGTGGTAATCACATCCCAGGCCTGGGGTCCCCTAGGGGCTGAGGGGGTGAGAGCCACTACATCTTTTGAACTCTTCCAGAAGCTGTTGGGGTTGACCACATTTCCAGTTTTGGGTGGCCCCGGCGTGGGTGGTAGAGGATCCTGCAGAAATTGGCCAGGGGTCACACTGCGCTGGAATAGGGTGACAGCCACAAGGAGGGCCAGAGCCAGGCACGCACTTTTGTAGAGGGTTTTCTTCCTAGGGGAAGCAGTAGAGAAGAGGGTGAGCAGGCACTCCTGAGGTGTCTGTAGATGCACCAGTGGACTCCACTCGACCCCCTCCACCCCCGTTTTCATTTCTAGTTCAGACCCAGGTTATGGACAGCATATCATCACCAGGTGACTTTGAACCAGTCAATGTGAGAGGCGAAGTCAGTGTCTTTATTGAAGTTTTGGGGAGTCCCTTGTGGAGTCAGTAACTCGACAGAAATGAGCCACTCGTACCGAAGATGGGAGGCTTGGAAGTGGAGTGGACAGATGCCGTCATGACTCCTTACCCCCATCTTAATATCCCACAAAAAGCAATGAGGTGCCCAGTCCTTTAGCCCTGGGAAAGAAACCCACTCTACAGGGACTCTCCCTGCCTAAATAACCCCATCATCACACCCTTTTCAGAAGCAGAAATCCTAACTCTTCTCAGGAGTGACCCACCTGTGCCCCGTTCCCCTAGAACTTCCCTCCTTAGCTCACACTGGGGCAAAAAGCACGTCGGCAGAGTGGCCTTCCAGGGCTGGGGCAGAAGGTTGATGGCTCTCACCTCCAAGGCAGGAGGTATAAGAGAGCCATGAGGCAGATGGAGATAACTAATCCCGGGGTAAAGTCCGCGGAGGCGCAAGGTGAGTAAAGATTGAGGCCCCCACCTCCATACAGTAAGATTTTCCCCAAGGGATTCATGACTTCTTGGCCACCAGGTTGGATGGAGAAAGACAGAAATCACGTAAGGTACCCTGCTGGGTTGTGAGACCCAAGGTTGAAATGAACCCTTCCGGGAACCACAGCACAGGATCCCCCTCCCAGTCTTCCAGCCCTTGGGGTTCTAAAGAAGCTCCGAGCGCCAACTCCGGAGTCCTAGTAAGGACCAGTCCCGGGCGGCGGCGGCGGC